GTACATAGAATGTCTCAGTTTACAAAGTATATAAAAATAACTGTTCTAAGAAACCACATGCGGTTTAAAGTCAGCGGCTCTGTTTTGTAACTCTATACTTATTTGTTTACCTTTTATAACCTAACAATTTCAGATACGATCCAATGATCTACGTGTTCCCTCGTGTGACGAAGTGCACCTTCCACAAGTTCGGTCCTTCAGGCAGCATACAGACGCACGACAGCCTCTGCATCCTGCCGCTGAACATCGTCAACGAGAAGACTTACATCTTCATCTGGTTCTGGTACATCATCCTCGCTGTCATCCTCACACTGCTGGTTATATACAGGTACTGTATTATAGAATCCGCAGCCATATTATCCATATCTATACTATTATAAAAAAGCGTAAACATACACGCCTTTGTGGCGTAGGATGTCGGCAATCACAGCATATTTTTGAATATTTTTTTCTTTAATAAAAAGCCCTACACTTCCGACATGCTTTAGGCTATATATTTTCACACTATTAAACTTGGGGGATAAATATTTTGGACAAAAACCCTAATGTGGGAAAGAGATCATAAGTTGCTGCCAACATCAAGGAAACAAGGTTGCCATGGTTTATCATCATGTCATGTCATTTTGACATTTGCAATTGATAATTTGACAAATGTAAACAATAAAATAAAATTATCATAATTTCATGCGGATGAAGTCGCAAGGCCACACCTAGTTTATTATACAACTAACTAGTTACTCACTGATAACGTAGCTTTTTAATCATGAAAGAATTTTTGAAATACGCCCCGTAGTTTTTGGATACTTTCAATACATACAGAAATACAAATCTGCCCTCTTTATAATATTAGTATGGGTAATACGGTCGATTAAAATTTAAAGAGAAGAAGAAGAAGAAGAAAGAAAAAGAAAGAAACTTTAAACAAATTTAAAGTCTTTCCGATCTCATATTTTGAAAACCACAAACTCATCTTTATGAAAAAGACAAACATACCATACTCACTTACAACAAATACCTAATTCAGATACTTAACAAAGGATCTTCTTTAACACTTAGATAACTTGAATACTTGACATGACATGTAGATAACCTTAACAATATAAAATCTTACTAATATTATAAATGTAAAAGTTTAGATGGATGTTTGTTTGAGTTTGTAGCCTAAACGGCTGAACGGATTTCGATGAAATTTGGCATAGGTATAGAATATAATCTGGAAGAACATATATGCTATTCACTTTTGTTTTTTCCAATACCACGCGGACGGAGTCGCGGGCGAAAGCTAGTAATCTATAACAAGATAAATTCGTGCAAACAGAAACATTTATTTATCTTAATAAAAACTGCTTAAATATAAAAAACAGGCTGGTGTTAAATAATTTTATTAAGGTAAAAGTACGTAGCCTATTTGTTCTAGACATCTACGAGTACATCTCACAATCATCGATTCAGTAGTTTAGGCTACACATACATCCGACAAGGAATTAAAAAAAAAGAAAGAAATATAGCCTTTCACTCAGTGATAACTTATTTTTTAACTGTGAAAAATTTTTTGAAATCGGCAAAGTTGTTTTTGAGTTATTTCAATATATACAAAAATCCAAAAAAAAAATAAAAAAAAAAAATGTTTAATCTTTGTCAACGCTACATTTATGAAAAAAAAAAATTAAAAACAAAATAATGACAAACGTAACTAAAGAAAAAAGAAAATTTTATATTATTAGTGTATTTTAAAGTATTGTCATGTCCAGATTGGTGATAATGTTTGTGCCGTCGGTGCGGCCGCGGCTGCTGCACGC